CCACCAGCAGTGTATGAGAGTCCTAATCTCTCCACAACCTTGCCAGCATTTATTTTCTGTCTTGTTGAATTTTGCTACTAATGCTGGAGCTGTAAGTAATTCTTAAAAGAGCAAAATGGTCAAAGCAGACATTTTTTACTAGTTAAGCTACATTGTTATTTGGTTTTAAGAATACATAAGGGGATATTTTTGATTTAAGGTTTGATTATCTCAGGGCAATAGTTTCAGGAGTCCATCCAAGCTTCATGGCTCCAGGAAGTCTAGAGTCCATGAGAATTTGAAATTCCGTTCCGTATTTTCCTTTTCGATCAAAGATTCTTCTATAGAGGCCCAGGATCATGTGGGAGATGATGAAGTTGATGATGGTGTTGACGATGACGATGACAACACTAAAATGGAGATGCTTATTGAAGCTTACTAAATGCTAGGCACTATTCTAAGTAAATGTTTATTAACTCATTTAATTCTCACAAGGACCCCATGAGACTGATATTATGAGCTCCATTTTACAGATGTGGAAAACTGAAACACATAGAGGTTAGATCACTACACAAAGTCACATAGGCATCAAGAGGAAGAACCAAGATTTGCACACTTTCAGTCTAACTCCAGAGTTTTTAACTGTAATATCATATATATATATATATATATATATATATATATATATATATATATATAGTTGTTGTTATGTGCCATCGAGTCGGACCCAACTCATATATATATATATATATATGTATGTTTATTTTTGTGGGATGGATGGGCATGTGGATAGATAGATGGATAGATAGATAGGTGTGTGGGTAAATGGATGGATGGAAGAATGAATGGGTGTGTGACTGGATTGTGGATGGATGGTTGGAAGAATGGAATGGATGGGTAGATGGGTGGGTAGGTAGATGGATGATGGATGGATGGGTGGGCATGTGGATGGATAGATGGATGTGTGGGTAAATGGATGGATGGAAGAATGGGTGAGTGGATTATGGATGGATGGATGGATGATGGATAGATGGATGGATGAATAGGTGGATGGAAGGAAGCACACAGGGAGCAGAGCAATAGCTTCATTAGAAGCCACTGACCATACTGAGTTCCATTGGAGAGCTAAGACTCCATGCTCTTGTCCCAAGGCCAGCTCCCCATTGCTATTGCCATTGTGTTGGGGAAGGAGGCCAGGATACAGGCCAGAACCCAAGACTCTGAGACCTGGATGTGGGATCGTGAAACGTCAGGTTTTAGCAAACAGCTCCCTCTAGATCTTGCTCATAGGCTACCCACTGGGGCGGGGGGAGCCTCAACTTCCTGTCTATTGTCTGCTTGGGAAACACCCATTGCATTCCTGGAGTGACCTGGAGCGGCCAGAGGGAGGTAGGGAGGGGGCCAACCCGGAGCCTGATCAGGGTGGGGAGAGGGGAAATGAGAGAGGAAGACTTGGTGTTGTTCCTTGTTTGTGTTTTGTATTAAAGAAAGAAAATAATATCCTTTGAGAAAACCGTTAAACAAAGCACATCCTAAGGCCCCAGAGGCCCATTGTGGCTGACCAGAGCCTGGAATTCATTCATGCCTTTGTGGCCAGCTTGTTGGAGGTGAGAAAGACAGCGACTGGGAACTGGGAATCGGGGCTGTTAATAAAATACACTGAACCCTGTGAGAGCTGGAACTCAAGGGGACTGCCTTGTTTTCCTGGGTCTCACTGATTGTCCACAGGGTGCAGTCACCACTTTTTTTCCCCCCTAACCAGGAAAGTTACAACAAAGAGATGCATCAGGCAGGGTCTGGAGGAGGTCACCACATGAGATTACATTGTCCCCATGGACATGCCACACACTCCTGTTCATAGCTGTTTTGTCACTCCAGGAATCCAACAAAAAAGCCAGTCACCACTTTTCTATCACTCTCCGTTTAGTGGAAAATATTTGCCTTTTCCTTCTCTAACAGGTTTCTGCCTTGCACAGGTTCTGCCTTTCGCAGGTTTTACTATGTATTTTTGGAATGTCCTCTCTCCCCTGGATTCAATAGGGGTCTAGGCTCAGTGCCCATAACTCCAGAGTCCCTGCGTCGTCCTAAGCCTGTCTTCCACCCCCTTGGTTCCTGGGAAACTCTCCATTTCTGGTTACTTTGGGCACAGCCAGGACTGTCCATGTCTATTCGTCCTCCCCTTGGTTGGGGGCTGGGCCCTCCATGTAGAGCCAAACCAGAGGGCTACCTGTGCCCCCACTGAAGGGGTCAGGGCAGCCAACCCCACAACTGTCAGACCCTAATTCATGTGTGCCCAGTCTGCGCCTCAGTCTCTCTCTGCAAATGTGAGATTGGGCCAGATGGACTCCATTGACCACTCCCCAGAGGATGGGACTCTGTCGCCCCTCTCCCATACTGTGACCCCTGGCCCTCTCAGCAGGGCAGCCATCCTGTGGGTGGTGGGGTGGGGGGTCAGACTCAGGCTGTGCACTGTGCATTAGGGCCTGTACTCGGTGTCCCAGGCCCCAGCCAGACCACCCCCTCTTCTCAGAACCCCAGGCCTAGGTACCTCCTTCCCCACCGAAAGCTGCTTATAGCAGAATGGCAGTGTTCCCCCCACCCCTTGCTCCTACTAGAACATACTTTTGGTGGTGGTAGGAGGAGGCTATGATGGTAGGAGCAGGGCACAGGGGAAGGAGATGGTAAGAGCTCCCTGGGTGGCTGCTAACCAAAAGGCTGGAGGTTCAAGTTCACCCAGAGGCACCTCAGAAGAAAGGCCTGGCAATCTGCTTCTGAAAAATCAGCCACTGAAAACTCTGACACACAGTTCTTCTGTGACACACCTGGGGTCTCCAGGAATTGAAGGTCAACACAACTGCAACTAGTTTTCCATCCCCTGCAAATAATTGTGCCTGGAGCCTGGCATTTGCAGGATTGGCCTCATTTATGGGTAGAGGATCTCTGTCCAACCTTGTTGTCAACGTGTATATGTAATTGCTGTCATTAGAGGTAAAAAGACCACCCTTAGGATATGCTGCAGTCCCGCCTTTAAAGTTTGAAGACACATGCAGCTATTTGCATGTCTTCCCTAAAATAGTCCCCGGACAGTATAAGGAAGGAAGGTCTTGTGTAAAAATTGCCCAAGGGGAGCCTGAATTGGGATAAGGAGACCTGGTTCAGCACGTTTCCTCTTCACGGAGCTCTGGGGTGCAGGTTCATCTCCTTGATCCTCTTAACACTCTGGACCAGAAGGTCTGAGCATCCATCCCTGTTTCATCAGGAACTGTGAGGCTTAGTAAAGTTAGTTCTTCTGAGTCCTACAACCAATGAACTAACTTCACTGTCTGGTCCCAGCTCTGTCGCTAATTCTCTGCAGGACCTTGAACCTGCTCACTCGCCTCTCTGAGGCTGAGCGTTCTCATCCGTAATTGGAGGGATTGGATATGACGGATTCTAAGGTCCCTTCTGTCCCATCGCCATCTGCAGTTCCAGCATAATCCCCTGGTGGCAAGCTCATTTGCCGTAGGAGTTTCCATTTTTCAGTTTGGATTTATTCATCAGTCTGTCTCTCGAAACTCCACAACCTTTTTGTCATAGATGTGGTTATGGTTAGTTCAGTCCCAGAAGGTCTTTGCTTTCTGTGCAAATCACTGATGATCTCCTCTCTCCCTCGTGATGCAGGGCTACCACCCGATGCCACATGAAGCAGAGATTGCACACACAAAGAAGTTGTTCCGAAGGAGGAGAAACGACCGAAGGTAGGAGACACTCCACCAGGAGCGTTGGATTTTCTTTTCCTCTGCCGCCCAGCTGTAGCTATGTCTGTTCCAGGCTGTGTTTTGCTTTTCCCATCATCAGCTGATAATGATGAGATGAGATGGGGACAATGGGGTTGGTTATGAGTTGGGGATTCCACAGTAGTGGCTACATATCCCTTGGGTGACCCAAGGATGGATCCCTTCAGGAACTTGGCTCTGGGCACATCCTTCTGGGGGTATGTCTTCTTCCTGGGGAGGAGTCCAGGTTTTGCAATTTGGGGGGAAAAAACTCTTTCCACTGATGTTGCAGCATCAATAGCAGTGTTGAGGATGAGGACATAACTGACTCCATGATGTGAAGGATGACCTCCAGGAGGCTCCCGGAGCTCACGGTTCCAAGAGTCTCCATCTTCCTTCCACCCCCATCATGGGGAGTGTGATAGTTTAGGTTGTATGTCAACTTGGCTGGGCCTGGTGTTGAGTGGCTGGGCAGCTGGATGTAGTGGTTCCCCATGATGAGACTGCTAATCAGCTCCATGGTGGGATCTACTAGAGCAGCTGAGTAGCTGCCTTGGGGATGTGGTCTGCTTCCAGTATATAAAGAGACACTTTGAGAGTGATCTTGAGCTTCTTTTTGGCACATCTGGGTCCTGCATGTGCCAAGTCTTCATTCAGGAGCCTGCCATGTTGTCTGCTGATCTTGGGATGGTTTCTGGACTTGAACTAGTGCTGTGTGGCCTGCTGATCTTGGGACTGTGCTATTTTACTTGTCAACCTTGGGCATGTCAGCCTCAGCAGCCAGCAGCTGCCTGAGCTAAGAGAAGCCTCCAGCTTCAATGGGCTGGGAGCAAGAGGCAAAGCTGAAGCCCAAGGTGGTAGGGCTTTCACCCAGCCCCTAGAGCTGGCACTTTGAACTCAGACTTCTAGCCTCCTAAACTGTAAGAGAATAAATCCCTGTTTGTTAAAGCCATACATATGTGTTATTTTTGTTATAGCAGCACTAGAGAACTCAAATAGGCCGTCAGCCCTGGTATGGGCCAGTACTGCTGCAACAGGCAACACACAATCAGCAAGGGCATGTCCTAACCCATCAACTGATTCTAACCCATAGGGACCCTGTGTGTGTGTGTGTGTGTGTGTGTGTGTGTTAGGTGCCATCAAGTCATCTCCAACTCATAGTGACCCTATATACAAAGGAATGAAAGACTGTCTCATCCTGTGCCAGCCTCACAATCCTTGCTACACCTGAGCCCATCATTGCAGCCATTGTGTCGATCCATCTCGTTGAGGGCCTTCCCCTTTTTTGTTGACCCTGCACTTTACCAAGCATGACATCCTTCTCCAGGGAATGGTCCCTTCTGACAACATGATCAAAGAAGGTGAGGCGAAGTCTGGCCACACAGACCATAGAGGACAGAATAGAACTGCCCCGTAGCATTTCGGTAGCTGGCATCTTTACAGAAGCAGACTGCCACATCTTTTTCCTGCATGGCACATGCTACTGCTCTCAAATGCCCAGAGAATGTCACTTAAACTAAGTCAGGACCAAGCTCTTCCATGGACTTCAGAGCCCTGGGTAATAAGAAAAGGCCAGATACGCAGACCCCAAAACGCACAGTGAGGTAGCCCTGAATAGGAGCAAGCAACTGAGCCTGGGCCAGCTGGAAGTGTGTAGTGCCTAGGGCATCTGACTGCTAGCCAGAAGGCTAGCGGTTCAAACCCACCAGCCACTCCTTGAAAGGAGGACTGGGGAATCTACTTCCGTAGAGATACCACCTCGGAAACCCAAGGAGGGGTCACTATGAGTCAAAATTGACTCGACGGCAGTGAGTTCTTATAAGAAGAGGCTTTGAAGATCTGTTCTAAGTGAAGCCAGGTGTAAAACAATGTTTGTAATATTTGACCATTTGCACAAAAGCTGTGTGTGTGGGGAGGTTGGAATATATTTTTTGCTTGAATAGACATAAATTATTTCTGGATGGAAATATAAAAAAATGAGAAAAGAAAAAGCTCTGACTGAGGAATTGGAGTGGGGTATTCCTCTATAGGGAATTGTTTCTTAGATAAAGGTGACTCGAGGTTTTACCCTTAATGAGCATAGAATGTCCTCAGAGAGCAGTGAAGCAGCCAGCTCACAGCCCTTGCTCAGAACATCAGAAGTGCCTCCTCTCATCCTGGGTGACAAGCTCCTTGAGGCTGAGGGCTGAGGCTGAGCAGTGACCCTGAGCTGTCCCTTCACATAAAGGCCCTGAGGAGTGTTATGTGGTGGCCACAACTTGTGGTGTTGGGGGAGAACTGGACACCCAGATGCCTGGTGACAGGCAGGTGGATGTGGTGGGCCTGAAACCATTCACAAGGACAGGGAAGGTGCCGCCTGCTGGGAGGAAGGTGGTTCACCACACACATTGCGTAGTGGTGTCAGAAGGGAAATTGAGTGCAGAGAGGTGGGCCAAGCCGTGGGCTGCCTGGAAGGTGGTTCATCGCATTGTATGTGCTGCCTTTTTGCTGTGTGGCATCAGGCTAATTCCTGGTCTCGAGGTCCTGACAGAGGGAAGAAATAGCATCACCTAAAGGAGGCCTAGGGGGTTATGGAACTAGAGAGGTTTGAGGGAGAGCACAGGCTTGGTGTCTCCTTCCTTCCCTGCCTGTGTCCCTAATGGCAGAGAGCACCGAGGGTATGTATGTCATAGATGTTGGCTGTCCCCAAACTTCCGGATGAGAAGCCACCCTCTGGCCCACATCTCAAGGCCCAGGCCATGGCAGGCGGCTGCTCAGTGGCCAGTCAGCCCACATGACTGTTTCTGGGCCAGGCCGCCTCGCTCAGCAGGAGTCTGTTAAGCGCTTGGACAGTGCCAGGACTCCGGAAAGCAGCGGCATGGCCCAGGAGTGTAGGAAGAGGCGCACGACACACAGGCTGGGAAGCTGCACTTCCGCCGAGCCCTGCTGGCGCTAACGCCCGGTTTAGGTCAGCACAGCTCGAAAAGGATGTGGGCCTGGGACAGGGTCCAACGCCAGGCAATAAAGATGATTAAAGGGATGGAAACTATGTCTTGTGAGGAAAGGCTAAAGGCTGGGGCCAGGGAAGAAGAGACTCAGGGGAAAGAACATGGACAGTTTATACGGAGGGACGGACAGTCACTGCCTTGTGTTCAAAGGGCCCAAACCAGAGGAAATCAGCTTAAGCAGAAGCAAGAGTTTTCAGCTGGACCAAAGACAACCTTGAGGCATGAACATCTTGACTTTCAGGGGTCGGGCTCTGCAGCTCCTGGCAGACAATGTGTTGTGAGCAATGGCTGAGCTGGTCGATGTACCCCTTCTTCATCACTATGTAGAACATGGGGGGCCCAGCTCCCTCCATGACCTGGAGAGGCCATGGAGTCCACACTACGGCGCTTCTGGGAGAAGAGTAGGTGGCCGTCGTGTTTTCCTTTTTTTTTAATAACTTACTTTATTTGTTGTTATTGTTGAGAATATGCACAGCAGAGCTTACTTCAATCCAACAGTCTACATGTACAATTCAGTGGCTTTGTTTGTATTCTTCGAGTTGTGCACCCATTCTCACCTTCCTTTTCTGAGTTGTTCCTACCCCATTAGGCTACACTCATTGCCCTCTAAGCTTCCTGTTAGCCTTTTGAGTTGCTGTTGTCAATTTAGGAGCTCTGGTGGCACAGTGCCTGAGACATTTGACTGCTAATCAGAGGGTTGGTGTTTCAAACCCACCAGCCGTTCCACAGGAGGGAGACTGGGCAATCTACTTTTATAAAGATTTACTGCCTCAGAAACCCAAAGGGGGTCACTATGAGTCAGAATCGTGAGTTTGGGTTTCTTTTTGTTGTTGTCAGTTTGATCCAACATAGAGAGTTCTTTCAGGCAGCCACACAGTTTAAGGACTTCAATTATCTGGAAGCAGGACAACTGTCAGGGACAGGGCTGTGAGGGTAAAGGCAGCAGTACTTCATCCTGGTGAGGGCCCAGGGGCACATCTCAGCGAGCACCCCACAGAGCACTGTTTATTCTTCCGCTAGGAGTTACTAGCAGTTGCAATCCTCTGTGCTTGGAGGACACGAGAGGACAGCCAGGCATGGTCCCTGCTCTCAAGGTCCCCATACTAGCAAGGGCCCTGACAGTGTAGCTTGGAAATGAGACTCTGACTTCAGAATCAACCAGAAAGTTATGCACAATTGTGTACCATGCAGATGTTAGTACTGACATGGTCCCTGCGTGGCACAGTTTGCTCTTGGCTACTAACCTAGTGATCGGTGGTTCATACCCACCCAGTGGCACACGGAAGAAAGGCTTGGTGATCTGCTTCCATAATGATTATAGCCAACAAAATCCTGTGGAGCAGTTCTACTCTGTGACACATGGGGTCGCTGTGAGGCAGAATCAACTCCCGGCAGTGGATTTGGTAATACTGAGGAGGTTCCAAGATAGGAGCAATTATGGGGGTGGTTCCAGAGTGCTTCCTGGAGGAGGTGTGAGCTGAATAAGCCAGGAGACACAAGGAGGATTAGGGATGGAGACAGGAGGATGTCTGGATGAGGGGAGTGTGCAGACTGCAGCTACCCAGGTGCCAAACCCAGGGATTTCCCCACCCTCCCCAGAAGTCGCGCCCACATCATTCCCTAGAAACACAACCAAATGAGTAGAGCCCACGGCTGCCACTTCCCCCCTCCCTGGCCCCCCACACACACCTGAGCTAAATGGAAGGCAAAGCCAGAGTCTGCTGGCTTCTTCGAGCCACACCCGGGACTGCCTGCTGTCTCAGAAGACCCTGCAGCCCCCAGGGCCTGTCTCTTCACAATTAGAGTGGAGCAGCTGATGGAGGCCTGAGTGGTCCATCACAGGGACACAAGCAGCCAGGGAGACAGGAGAGCCATTCTCCAAATTAATTTGTTTCATTAAGTGAGGTCTCAGAACAGTTCATTTATTCCATGTGCAAAGCAGATTTGAAAAGAAAAGAATGCCGTGGCCATTCCCAGCTACTGTCAGATGGCCCT